CCACTCACACCACTGGTCCTGAAGGGATCATCTTCCCTGGATTCCCTGTGTTTCCAGTACCTATCTGTACCAGTGTACCAGTCTGGTCTAGCAAGATTTGTAAGGTAGAATTGCGATCATGATAGTGGGGGAGGAGGAAGCATTTAGGAACCAGAGGAAAGTAGTATGGTTAATGGGTAGCGGGGGCACATGCACTAACCCACCCAAGGGGGAGGGTATTGTTTATATCTCCACAGGAAAAGAGGGACCAGACTTCAACCCAGTGCTCTAAGAAGTGAATGCAACATGCCGGCATGGAGTAGGGAACCAGTGGAGAGATCTGAGGCACCTCTCCCAATCCCAACTACTACATGGACACCAGCCCTTCCCCCCAGAAAATTTTATTTCAAAGGATGGCATTGAATCTGCAGCTCTGGGAGAGGGACATATCTGATCAGAGCACATGGAAGCAGATAAAGGGGGAGGAGGAGAGAGTGGAGCACATCCTGGCCCACCAGGCCTTGAGTTTGTACCACTTCTATTAGATCCCTATGGTATATGTATGTGTGTGTATACAGATATATAATCTTGCCTTTATCTTTTTGACTCTGTAATTGAGCAGATGTGTTAGTCCTTTATTAATCATAATTTCACGGGGAATTGAAGCTCCAAGTCCTGGCTGTACACAGCTCCACAATAGCATTACACATCCCATCTGGGGCTATAGGTTACCCTGAGGAAAGCTGTTGGAAGGGCTTTTCAATATCCATTAACCACTCCTGTTTCTACTCTAAATACCTTTGGAATTTCCATCATTCTTCTCAAAGCTAAGCTATTTATTTAAAAAGTTTAAAATATGTATATTTTATCCTGTATATTTTGGTGTTTTTTATCTAATTATTTTAATTTGCCTATTATATCATGTATCATAGTGTTGGTTCAGACTCCTAGTGCCCCTACAATTAATAAAGGCAGTTTTCCTTCAAAATTAAGATTAAAAATGACAGACTTCCCCCAATTATAGTATAATTATTATTATTATTTTGTGTATAATTAAAGTTATATCAACAAACACAAAATTATGACTGTATGATTTAAACTATTTTGTATAGCTAAAACAAACTTATGAGCTAGCGAATTACACAGTCTTAAAAATTTGAATATTACCATTAGTATCATAAGAGAACATTAATTTATCTTTCTATTCAAATTACCCATAGAAATGGACTCTTTTTTTTTTAGTCACTATGCTTGTCTCTGGAAGGAAGCAAGCAAGAGCAAATGTGGGTTTGAGTTTTCTTATCAATGTACATGGAAAGGATGTAAGAGATATTCATAAGAGGCCTCATAATTGTAAACTTGGAACCATGAATACTTACATAAGATAATTATATATGGAGTTACTAAATTATAATGTAAATATAATGGTATGTCAGAACATTTACTAAGATATGGGAAAAAATATTCTTGGACAAGGTAAGAATATATATATATATATATATATATATATATATATATATATATACAAATAGAAAGATATAGACTGCTCCATCTTAAAGGAGTAACAGAGACCAAGAAAACAACCACGCAGGTGGCTAAGACACAAGCTTCAGGAGATGATCAAGGACACTCAGAGAGCAAACCACACTGAATGTTATTGACTACATTACAATATTCCATTTTTATTTTAAGTGGAATGCTATGTCACATGTTTTGAGGAAGCTACATAACTATTTTAAGAATAAAACTGCCCCTGACAATTATATCCTAGTTTCCCTAAAGTTGAAAATAATTACACATGACTTCATGCCATGATGCAATTAAAAATAAATGAATAACTCAGTACAAAGTTTGCATTTCAACATTCATAAAAATGAATGGAAATATTACGACTTATTCCCAACCCATCACTTCACGAAATGAAATAAATTATGATCAAGCATTTTTAGAGTAAGCCCTAAGAATAATTCATAGGATATATTTTAAGTCTGGGCTGCTTAGAGAAACAAATTTAGAGACACTCATATGTTTGCAAGAGAGAATTTTATATCCAAGAATAATTGTATATTAAGAAAACATCAAGACCCAATACAGATCAAGTTCATAAGCTTGATATTAGCCAATAAGTACGACATTAGCTCATATGTCAGATACTAGTCCATAAATTATTCTACAGAGTTACACAGCACATGCAATGGTCCCCAAAGCAGGAAAATCACAGGCCATCGGGTGTAAAGTCTTGTGCAAGAATCTCAGTGCTGGCACGGCTCTCCATGTGGCCCCTCCAGCTCCAGGGCTCTGGCTACCATCAGCATAGCTTCATGTGGCTTGTCAGCAGAATGTGAGGCATAAAGTGTGTGTCAGGCCTCCAAGGAGGAATACAGGAATTCCCAGAATCCTCAGGAGAAGGCCGTGCCCACAAAGACATCACTGGCTATGACCAGATTGACAGGCTAGAGTCCACCCCTTTGCTCAAGTTGACAGGAGATTATGTAACTGCCACAGATATGTAAAATAAAACAAAACAACCTAACCAAGAGGAGCAATGAAACTTATTTAGACATCAATTTTCTTCTGAACAGTTCTTTGGTCAATGTCTCCTTCACATCCTTGTTCCTTAGACTATAGATCATGGGGTTCAACATGGGGATCACTGTGGTGTAAAACACAGCCACCATTTTACCCTGCTCCACAGATTCCTCAGAGGGGGGTCTGAGATACATGAAAAAAAGAGTTGCATAGAATATGGTGACTGCTGTCAGATGGGAACCACAGGTAGAGAAAGCTTTGCGCCTACCCTCTGTAGATCGAATCCTCAGGATAGCAGGGAAAATATAAAGATAGGAAATAAGGATAATGAGAAGGGAAAAGGAAAGGTTACAGCCAGCCACCACAGACATTGATGTCTCTTTGTTGTAGGTGTCCGAACAAGCCAGCTTAATCAGTGGAGGGTCAGCACAATAGAAGTGATTAATCTCATTGGGGCCACAGAAGGCTAGCTTGTAGGTCCACATGGTCTCCATCAGGCCAGTGAGAGCCCCGTACACATAGGGAATTGTGATGAGGGATGTGCAGACGCTCTTGGACATTTTGCTGCCATACAGTAGAGGGTTGCAGATGGCCATGTACCTGTCAAAGGCCATCACGGCCAGGACATAGAACTCCACATGAACTAAGGCAATAAAGAAGTAGCACTGCACCAGACAAGCAGGGTAGGAAATGGTTTTCCTCTCTGACAGGAAGATCTCCAGCATCTTTGGAGTCACATTGGACGAGAAGCACAGGTCCACGAAGGACAAGTGACTCAGGAAAAAGTACATGGGCGTGTGGAGCCGGGCATTGAGCTGGATGAGTACAATCATGCCCAGGTTCCCTGCCACTGTGACCAGGTAAACTGCCAGAAAGAGCAGGAAGAGGATGATCTGTAATTCCAGGCGATTGGTCAGTCCCAGAAGAATGAACTCACTCACTGAAGTCAAGTTTCTTCTCATAGTTTCCTTGGATAGGAGATTGAACTTTTGTATTTACATTGGGTTATTTTAGAAATAAAGAAATTAAATTTACAGTAATGACTTCTTAACAGATGATTTCCCTCTTTCCTCAGTATTTTTTTCTCACCTTATTTCTAGTCCTCTTCAATCTTGGCAAATTCAATCTGTCCATGTTTGGGGTAAGCTCTCTCATAGCTCTGACAGGCCTGTCTTTCTTGTTTTGTTTTTTTCCTTCTCTCCCTGTTCATTCCCCTGCACTGTGTTTTCATCTTTTTCTTCTTAGTCCACCATTCCCCTTCTTTTACTTATCAAAGGGACTTTAAGATAATAAAAGTAAACTGCCATTTAAATGAGGCGATTCCCTCCCCTGACCCAAAGGTAACATTAAGTCTAAAATATTTTATTATCCTTAATTTTATGAGAGTAGGGGAAGTGTTGACAGAGGGGAAAAAAAGCAAAAAACATACCCAAAACAAGATATGAAAAACTTATATTGCCCCAATTACCTTGCTTTATTTTTGTTTGTGTTTTTTAATCATTTTCACCCACCCAAATCTGTATTAAAGAGCTCTGGGAGCCTGTTAGTTAGCTGTTAGATTGTTAACCAACAGGTCACAGTTCAGACTGAACAGTAGCTCCAAAGAGGAAAAATTAGGATGTCTACACCTATAAAGATGCAGATTGTAGACAATTATCATTAAATTCCCTATGAGTCAGAATAGCATTCCCTTTGATTTGGGGGTTTAATCTCTACTCAAGAATTGTAAGCAGGAGAAGGGAATCAAGATGGCCTCCAGGTAGAATCACCCACTTGGCTCTCCTGATGCTAGACGAAAAAATTAAGAGGTAAGGAGCCAATACTGAGAGGCTGGATGCTAAAAATAGCTTCAGGGTGCTAGGGTCTGGCTCAGACCTCCCCCTGTGATTTTCATCCACAAAGCAATTTGAGAACTCACTGAAGTCCTCTAAGCTTACCGCATCTATCCACGGGCTCATCTAAACCCTTGCTAGGCCCAGCAAGACAGCATCTACCATCCCTTCCTTTGCCCAAAATAAGAGACCTTCAGTGAGCAGTAATATCCCCAGGCTGCCTTCTAAAAGTAGTCTTAATGCCAGGAACAAAGAGAGCCTCAGACAATTAGCACAAGACCTCACACAGGAGTTCCCTTCTCTGCTATCCTCCCTGTTCCTGAAGCCTGGGAATAGAGTTACTACATCAGCCACCACCTTTCCCCCTCTCTCCACCTCCACGCCTGCCAATGTGGGTAACCATAGCTAATTAAATAATAATTTGCAGCAATTAAAAAGTTACTAGGATATCTACCTGTGATAGAATGCAGTTCCCCAGAGCACAACTGGTAGGCCATCCAGCATAGTGAAGGGAGTGACAAAGGTGTACAGCCAGGGGAGAATTTAGTTCCAGTAAACCCAAACCCATTCTGCTACTCTGGTCCCCTTCCCTGGGGCAGCACGACAAGCCCCAATACCAGGGCATCCCACAAGCCCTTTATAAAAATAAGGGAATTTTTTTTAAACCAAACAAATGGTCACAATGCTATGTTATGGTCCTCTGTGTAACTCTGAATGTAAGCAGCCAGAACTCTCCTTTAACATAACATTAACATAACAACTCTGATCTCCAGAGCACAGTTTAGGATTTTACCATAACAAAATGGGAAAGTGAACTGGTTCTGATAGCTAAAAGCCCAAACCTCAAAACTGGCTTTACAAGCTCTGGGCTCCAAAGAGAGTCTTTAAAATGCTGAAAATTGGGGACAGACAGTACAGCCTAGGCCTCTGCCACTCTGCACCTCACACTGTTGGTGGCCACTGAGTTGCTGTAGCACCCTGCCTACATAATAGTCCAACCCACCACCATAGTAGGCCACAGGTAGTCTTCAAAAACTCTCTTTACAGTCACACAGAGAAAGAGCTCTGAGCCTCTTGCTCTCCAGAAAACATGGCACCCAATTCCAAACTGACAAGTAAACAGCAACCTATTTCAATACCTTAAAAAAATTAAGGAAAACAAAATGTAACAGCACAGGAAGTCATAAACTTATTGACACTAATATAAGAATCAGAAAATAGTGTGCCACAAAAAGAAATCTTTGGAATGTTTCTTGGAGTAATACAGGATATGAGGCAATTAATGTAGAATAAGGATGCAATGATAGAGGAGATGAAATCCACGATAGAGGGGATAAATTCCATGATAGTAGGGATGAAGTCTGCACACCAAAGGTAAACACAAGAACTAATGGATGAGGTAACAAAAACAAAACACAAGATCATAGACTTCACCAACAGATTAGAAGAGGCAGAGTATCCTACCAGCAACCTCGAGGACATTCAGGCAGACTTCAACAAATCAGAAAGACAGTCAAACAAGAATATCAAAGAGGTGGAATAAAACAAGAGCTCAATGACAGATGCTACGAATAGGAACAATATTCGAATAATTGATCTACCAGAACAAGAGAAAACAGAGAAGCCAACAGCTAAATTAGTGAGGGAATTTCTTGAAGCAAATTTCCCCACCTTAAGTGCACCTCAAGAAAACATCCCAACCTAGTTATGCCCAAGCCCACAAGTCCAACATTAAACCATAAACCCATATGTCTGACACCAATCCACAAAGTCCTCCTCCATCTCACAAAACAAACACCAGGATGCCAACTGCAGGAGGAAAGTCAAATCAGTGAATGTGTAAGCATCTCAGCACTGGCAGGGGTCGCTACATGACTGCTCCAGCACCCAGGGCTGCATCGCGGTAGGTCCATGCAACTTTTCCTCGGGGATGTCTTGCAGGAAGTGAGCCTTGCCAGTTGAAGCAGGAAATTGACTAAGGGAGCTGCACCCTGGTCCGACCATCACAAGGCAAGAGATTTAAGAACTAGAAAGGCAAGGTTCACCAAGCCATTTATCTCTCTGCCTTTCAGTTAACCCCACATGTGTTTATTGGCCAGGTTGGCACATTAAATTTAACTAACTCACCCTCCTAACCTCTAAAAAGAAAAAAAAAACCAGTTAATCCCCTTGAGGAAGTGGTCAAAAGACCTGAACAGAAGTTTTACTGGGGAGAAGACCCGAATGACCAATAAACATATGAAAAAGTTCTCCCGATCATTAGCCATCAAAGAAATGCCAATTAAAACAACCATGAGATACCACCTAACACCCTTGAGGATAACCATTGAGGATAGATCAGAAAATCAGAGAGCAACAAATGTTGGAGGGGATGTAGTGAGATAAGGATTCTCCTCCACTGATGGTGGTTGTGTAGATATGTACAAGCTCCGTGGAAAGTGATCTGGCGATATTTAAAGCAAATTGAATTTGAGCTTCTTTATGACCCAGCTATCCTTCTACTGGGTGTATATCTAGACGAGATAAGAAATAGACCTTGACCATTCATCTGGGTCCCAATGTTTATTGCAGCGCAATTCACAATCGCAAAGAATTGGAAACAACCTAAATATTCATCAATAGATAAGTGGATTAGAAAACTCTCGCACATACACACAATGGAGAACTAAGTATCACTAAAAAGCACTGATGATCGCATGAAGCATATTGCTTCATGGGAACAGTTGGAAGAAATCATGCTAAGTGAAGTTAGCCAATCACAAAAGGACAAGTATAACATGAGTCCACTGTGGTAAGTATAATCAACACAATAGATATAGAAGAAAAGCCACTTATCTCACACTACATGGGTTGAGGTACAGGCAGTCAGGGGGACAAGCCAAACCCAAGGACACACATGTCATTCCAACATAAAGTAGGGGGAAGGGGGGAATGGGGAGGGAGAAAAGTGTGGAGTGATGATGGTACTGGGGAAGCAGGACAGTAACCCACACGGGGGAGAGTATTAGTTATGTCTCCATATAATTGGGAGTGTGCATGCAGACCCTACCACAGTGCACCAAACCTTGAGGAGACTGTCACTACATGGAGCAATGTGTGAATAGAGAGGGCTACAGAGCCAGCCCCAATCAGAGCCAAACCTCCCCCTCCCTAGAAGTATGTGCTACAGAGGCAACACTAAACTTACAGGTTGGGGAGAAGACCCGGCCTGCCATGCCTACACATAAGCAAGCCAAGAAGGAACATGAGAGAATGAGATTCTAGACCCTATATTGGCACCCCAACCCCTAAGGACGATGTCCCCGCATGGAGCTGCTAAAGCATAGAGAGGATTGTAGGGCTGACAACAGAGACATGATGACCCCTTTCTGTAGCGTTCCATAATAGAGGATAATACTGGGGACTACAGTGAGGAGTGAGTCCATTCTGAACCCCCCACAACAGGGCGAACCAAGAAGGGAACATAACAGATCAGCAATGGGAGCAAAGCCAAGCCACACCACCCCTGAGGAAACCTCTCAGATAGACTTCAGGCTAGGAGGGGCAGTAACCAGAATCCCCCCAGGACCAGTAGGGAGATAATCATAAATATCAGAGGAGAGACCTGGATTATCTATGCTGTTTTTGTTTGTTTGTTTTTTAATTCTGCTAATATACATATATATTATTTAATCTTTGGTTTTCTTTTTGTATTATTTACATTATTGTTGGTTTGCCTACCTATATGAGATAGGCATGGGAAGAAAGCCTGAGGAGAAAGAAATGGAACCAAAAGTTCTAGAAGGACTTAGGGGGAGGAGGAGGTAGGGGAAGGGATCAGTGAGCAAAC